CTTAATTTACCTATGATGAAGCATCCAAGGCCATATAAACTGCAATGGTTAAATGATTGTGGAGAAATCAAGGTAAATAAGCAAGTTCTGGTTTCATTCTTTATCGGACGATATAAGGATGAGGTACTGTGCGACGTGGTTCCCATGCATGCTGGACATTTACTACTCTTACTCAAATCCTACATATTTTGCTAGTTCTTGTTTTAGTATACCTGTTGATCTTGATTTTTAAGTTCTTATGGACACCTTTTAGGAGGGGTGACGATTATCAGAGAATACCTATATGAGGCATCCTAATCCTTGTCTCTTGCAAGTGTTAATCTCTGTATCCTTGATGTCTTAGCTTTGACTTGACCCTAGGATGTCTAGGATGACTTGATTGTAAATCTGCTTAGCCTCCATGGGCTACGAGGTGAAGGGGTAGTCTTTGAAGTACCTGATGCCCTAGAGTTTGTTCCAAGAGAAATGGTTCTTTTATCTGGCTACTTCGATTTTTATTTGCCCTTTTAATTAGAAGACAGTAATCTTCTAAGTATCCTGATCCCCACTATTGATTATTCTGTTAATTAATTTGTGTTACTTGGGGTGCTAGATCTTGGCATCCTAGTTATATTTGCTCTTGAATTCGTGTTCTGATTGTCATTATTGAAATCTCTTTTGTGGGCCTAATCCTTAAATTTTATTGCTTGTTTCATAGTTAACTCTTGTCTCTCAGTTTTGACTGCTTGGTTAAATTTGATCTTGATTCTTGGTGAATGCCGTTTTGTTGCTGAATTTTTGAGGCATTCTACCTTGCACTCTTATTCTCCAGTATTCTTCCAAGCATTCATATTTTCCATTGATTTCATTCTGGTGCTATTTTCGAAATTTTACATGTCATTTGATGGGTCTAGCTTTTAACTCTTGTTAATTGCTAAAATCTGTCTCTTGATTCCAGTTGTTTTGTTAAACATGATCTTACTTATTGGTTAACCTTGTTGTGGCAAAATTTATAAGGCATCCATGCACTTGTTCATTCATTCATGATCCATATGTCCATTGGATGCTTATCCGTCTTTGATAGAGTTCAAATTTTGTTGTACTCGTCTTTAAATCCATGCCATTCTTTGCCAACTTGTCTTGTGTTGGGTTTATAGCGTAACCCCACAACTTTTCTTTTGTAGCCTTGGCAGGATTTATTTTTATTCCTTGTGCTTCCCCATATCACCCTAGCCTCTAGTAGTTAATGTTTTGCTTTTATGATTAGTTGTGGTTTGATATCAGAGTGGCGCAGCGGAAGCGTAGTAGGCTATGTTCTGTTCATAAAGAGTTGGTGGAGCATTTGTTGTCTTGGATTGTGTGAAGCCATTCACCACTTGAGACGACCCTAAATTCAAGTTTTGGGGAGAAAACTCCTTTTTAGGAGGAGTGGATGTAATATCCCAAAAATTTGTGATATTTAGCACTTAGTTAAAGACTTGATTGTGAGAAAAATATTTTTTGGGGCCTAATAGTGAATATTCTGAAACTTGAGGGACTTAAAAGAGAAAGGGATTTGGATAAGGATCCACTATTTTTTTTCCTTCTTTCTTCTTCCTCACCCGCGCGTCTGCTCTTCTTTTCTTCTCCTCTGTAGCCGAACAAAGCCCCCAAGCTGCCGAGAGCCCTCATTTGAAGACAAATCGGTAAAAGCTTGGGGGTTTCTCCTTCTTTTCTTGTTCTAGAACACTTTTAGAACCCAGAAATCTCCCCCCCCCCCCTCTGCAGAAATCCCGGATCTGCTCTGCTCTGCTCCTCACCGTCGGCTGCTCTTGTTTGTGGGTGCGAAATTCTTCAAATTTCTGGTAGGAAACAGCCATGATTCTTCTCCTTTTAGCCTTAAATTAACTTGGGTTACTCTAATTTGTGCTTGTGGTTCTCCAATTTTCAGTAGATCCCCCTGAATTTCTCCTTCATTCCCGCCGGCTTCCCCTAACTTGCAACTCCGGTTTTTGCTACTGAATTCTGGTATATGACAGCCATTTTAAGCCTTAAATTATCCATTAGCTGCTGAGTTTGTCCATGAATTACTGCCCCATGTGCTGCCCAAATTTTGTTGAATTAGGGGGATGAATTCTGGTAGCTTTAGGACAAAATTAAGCGTTAATTCAAGTGAAATTTATGTGATTGAGTGTTAATTGACTGCTGTGAGATTTTGGAGAGAAATCCCGTGAGCTTAGTTATGGTTTTGCCAATTTTTGGAAGTTGCAGTTACTGTTCATGGACACTGTTCATGGGCATTGTTCACGCACTGATAGCCAACAATTAATGGGGATTAAATGGTTAGTTTGTAATATAAGAACAAATTTGGAGATATCTAGTCATGTGGAGACTAATAGAAATAGTATCGTAATTAGGGGTGATCCTAATGAAGTTTTCATTTTGAATTTGTGGCAGTATGGTATTAATTCTGGAGTATTTTGATTAGGTTCTTGATCATTGGTTGCCTTAGCACTTGGATTGAGTCCTCGGTTTAGGTGATTGAGGTAAGTAAATTACAGTAACACCTTTCGATTTCAAAGTAAAAGCATATTTTAAATTATTTTTGAGATGGTGACAAGGTTTAAATTAATTTTATTGATTTAAATTGATTTTATTAGCACCGAGCATGATTGATTTGAAATGGAATTATATTTGTTTTCATAAAGTAGAGCATGCTCACTTAGAATTTACTGAACTGCTCTAATGATGTGAGAATTTTTGTAAATTATGATTTTTTATTAAATCCATGCCCACATGGAATTTTCTGGTTTATTTCTAAAATTTGAGATTGATTATGAATTACGGATTTCTTCTATAAATTTTGCATGGTTTTGTCTTTGATATAGTCATGATTACTGTGTCCGCTAGTGGGAGGTTTATAAACGCTAGCACATGTCGACATGTTTACTGATAGGATCGGTTCATTTTGAAATCCTGCCAATGGGATAAAACATTGGTTACTACTGTGCCCGCCAATGGGAGGTTTATAAATGCTAGCACATGTCGACATGTTATTGATAAAACCGGTTCGTTCGAGTGACCTTGCTAGTGGGGGTTATACACCAGCAAATCGTGTGCCTGTCAGTGGAAGGTTTATAACACTGGCCATGACCTATAGAGGAGACGTCTATTTTGTTCCCGTACTGTATTCGTTTTTTGTAACTATACTTGTTGGCATGCTATGAGTTTAATTAAGAGCTATCCATATTTACTTATTGAGTTATCTCATAGTTTTTCCTTGTCCACCATTTCAGGAAGCGAAGTCAAGGACGGGGAAAAACAAGGGAAGTGACGAGTTAGAAGGCTAGCCATCTTGTAAATTTGATATAGATTTTAGATATAGATCATGTTCTTGTAAGCTAGATTTTAATTGGAGATTTAATAAATTCATTTAATGGATTATTAGTTTACAAGATATTTGACCTTGAGGTTTTGAGCTTAAGTCATGTTGGGCATAAAATTATTTTGAAATATTTGATTTAAGTTATTGGATTATTAAATGTGAATTGGATAAGTTCTGAGCCTTGTGCATTTGTGGGATCCTCTCATGAGTGCACGGCGTTTGCCACGTCCCAGATTTGGGTTCTAGGGCGTGACAATGGCACATGTCAACATGTTTACTGATATGACCAGTTCATTCTGTAATCCTGCCAATGAAATAATACATTGGTAATTTCTGACGCTTGTCATTGGGCGAATACATTGGTAATTTCTGACACCTGCCACTGGGCGAATACATTGGTAAAATCTGACGCTTGCCAATGGGCGAACACGTTGGTAATTTCTGACGCCTGCCAGTGGGTGTTAAATGTTGGCCATGACTTATAGACGAGACTACTACTGAATTTTCTTCTGCATTAACGGTTTATTATTGAACGCTTTGTTATTGAACTGAATCTGATTCTCCATTAACGGTTTGTCATTGAACATTTTGTTATTGAATTGAAACTGATTCTGTTTTAACGGTTTATCATTGAACGTTTTGATATGTTAAATTGTTTATCAAGCATGTTAAAATTTTACCTAAGGGCTGTCCATATTTACTGACTGAGTTATCTCATAGTTTTTTCTTGTCCACCATTTCAGGAAGCGAAGTCAAGGATGGGGAAAAACGAGGGGAGTGACGAGTTAAAAGGCTAGCCATCTTGTAAATTGAACATAGATTTTAGATTTAATCATGATCTTGTAAGCTAGACTTTATTTGGAGATTTTATGATATAAGAGCAAATTTTATAATTTTATCTTCAGATTTTGTGGTATCAGATTGTGGTATGATAAGTTCCGAGCCTTGCGCATTTGTGGGATCCTCTCACGAGTGCACGGCGTCTGTCACATCCCCAAATTTGGGTTATGGGGCGTGACACCTCATGAGATAGATACTTGTCTCGAGGCATATCCCTAATTCATACCCTGTAGCAAAAAAGCTTCCTAATTTTTATTGCCCATTTAAAATCTCAAGTTCAATACTTTTTAGAGGTCTATCAGTGATTAAAAAAGAATTCATATAAATTAAAGAAGATAAAATATGTTGATTTTTTTTTTATTTACATGGTTAAAATATATATTCTTATGATAATTTTCATGCATTTTAAAAGTAATTAAGTTAAAGTACGTGATTTTGTAAACGTGATTTTATAAATATCAAATCAACGTGTAAGGGTGTATTCCACGTACCATATGTTAGTCTAGAAAAGGAATAAAAAACAAGAGTATTCCATCACCAACGTATACTAATCACGTTCAAAAATCAATGGGGTTTGAGCCGAACAGTATCAATCTTTTATTTACAGTAGAATATTGAAGGGTAAAATCCATATCTTTTAAAGTCACTAAACTTTATAATAACTTTCATTTTAGTTAGCTATGTTTAAAATAAAAAAATTTGTTTCCCAAGTTAATTTTAATCTTCATCTATGTTAAGTTCATGATTATGTTATGCTGACTTGGCTTACAATTTTGCTTAACTAGAAAGCCACATGGCACATTAGTGTTGGGTTTTCCAGCCATGCATGATGCAGTGAAATAATTTAAAAATTTTCAATGAAACTTACTTAAAATGTAAATGGATTTGAAGTATCATTATACCCGTATTAATATATTTACCCATGCTGACCTTACCAAAAAAAAAAAAAAGAAAAAGAAAAAGAAACAAAGGTTCACAAAATCCTACCTCAGTTGCAGCATGCCTTCGATAGTGCGTTACTCAAATTATGTTGACTTGCTAAAACTTAGAATACTCTGAAGTAGAACTACTCTAGTGGAACTCCACACGCATCTCCGAGGATAATAGAAGGCCGAAATCCTCCAATGCTAACTTGAGCAATCTGCGGCCGGCATGATCTTCTCCCCAATGTTGGTTCAAGAATAGAATAAGAATTTTGACTTTCTTCTCTATGTGAGGTGCGGCTAAGGTGATTTCCTAGTAGAACTTCTCCTCTTCTTCCCTTTTTATTCACATAGAGAAGAAATTTCCGTTGGGCTTTGGAAGATTGTAGTCGTCCCTTATTTATATGCTTAAGGACTAGGTAATTAGAAGACATACTTCCTCGGGTCTGATTGATAGTTATTTTGTTTTATCCTCTCACAATTATTGAAAAACTTCACAAAATAAGAAGTGAGTACTAAAGCAGAGCCAAGGGAGTAACTAAGAATTACTCCCTATGTCCCACTACAATAAATGTTTTTTGATTTTATCCTCAAATTAAAAATTTGAGAATAATTTTTATTTTTACCTATTTCATTTTAAAAAAATAAAAATAAAGAAACTATTTTATGATAGAATGGATATGATACATGGATAATTAAAGTCAAGAGACAGTGATAATATTAAAATAAAAAAAGAATATCTATCTCTCTTAAAATATTAAAAGACAAATTTTAAATAAAAAAATCTATTATTTTTGGGATAAATGGAATATAATTAGAGTAAAATTCTTTGTTTTGGTCTCCTAGTCCAAGTAGAGTTTCTAGAAAAAAAGAAAATTCCTTCTTCCTTTTCCTTTTGTGTTGCACACTCATCCTTTAAACCTTTAATTTTGGAATCCAATTCATTTAATTCTTGTGAAAATATTTTTTTCACTCAAGTAAATCCTTTGTTCCTAATTTTCTAATTGAATAAATGAATCCTTTTCCTAGGTAAACTTGCTATTGCGTGCTATCACCTAGATTTCTATCATGGTAGTAATATGATGACCATGCAAATTGTGACTGGTGTCTAGTAACATAGAACTGCGACCCAAGTGATAGAAAAGTCATTAGTTTAGAAAAACCTTTCCATATTGTGTAATTCAATCTTTTTGTTAGCTGATATCTTGATCAAACATGAAGCATGAGTGCCATCTTCTCATTAGCTTGATCTAATTTTCTTCGACATTCTTAGACAGACAAATGTTTTGAATGGCTTCCCCATTCCTACTATTGACGTGAATTTAAGCTTTATTATCTAGATCAAAATGCTAGACACATCTTCTTTTAATATTGAAAGTTACAAATCCTATCTTGGATTACTCACTACTACCTTGATACGATTTATGCTGCATCCTACACATAAGTGTTGCAATACTTGTAATTTCATATTAAACTTAGATTTAATTGTACATCTCAAAGTACCTTAGTCCTCATAGATATATATATATATCGGATAACAACGTAATAACTTTAAATTAAAGGATTACTTACGTACACATCAGAATTATTTAGAATATCATTTTTTGTACTCAAAACCTTTGGAGATGCTAAATCTCCTATAACATTGGATGAATCGTCCCTAAGATTGATTGGTGGCGCTGCATCCCAAAACCATTAGGGATGGAAGATGACGTTCCAAAACCTTTATTTGGGCATTATTCAGGAAAACGATGTACATTTAGGGACATATATTTTTTCATCCCTAAAGATTTTGGGACGATTTTTAGGGCTTTTGGTTACGAATATCAGCATCCCCAAGCAGGGATGGACCCCATGCGAGACAAAGGAGGCAGCGGGCCGAACCCCACAGCTTTAGAAAATTTAGTTTCCTTATTAGTCCTCAACGTTGGACATATGGGACGCTTCAATCTCTCTAATAACTTTTTATCCCTAATTAACATTTATAATCATCATCATCATTTAAAATTTTGCGCACCCCCCACCCCCCACACATAAGTTCTGGCTCCCTCCCTATCCCAAGGAGCATATACAACTTTTGTAGTGCTAGAACAAGCATTATATATGTATTTTAATAAGAATATACTTATATAATGAACATTCTCATTTTTTTAATCAAATTAAAGGATATTTGCGATTCCCTTTAGAATTGCATGCGTAAGAGATGTAGGAACGCATTTTTCTACCCAAATATTCTCCTGTTTGTTCCTTCTCCAACACTCAATTTTTAATGTGTACTAAAAAGAAAAAAAATAGATAATTAGTTGGGCATATGTACCAAAATAATGATAGTGCTTCCACACTAATCATGCACATCTGGCTGATTTTGATCGAGCAATCAAAATACAAGCTTTGTCTTGGTGATCCCAGATAAAGGAGCAAAATCGACTGGTGTTGTAGGGTGCAAAAGAAAAGTTTGTTAGGAAAGTCGGTGGCAAAGGTTTGATGCACAATTTAAGCTCATAGTTTTTAGTCTTCCCCTTTCGTGTGTAGGTCCATATGAGTTAGCTGTCAGGTGTAGTTTTTATTATATTATATTATATTATATTTTTATATCAATCTTATTGATAATTCCAGAATGGGATCCACATTTGCTATGCATGCATAATTATGCATCCAAATTGTTGATTATATAATTATCTTCATCATTATTTATTGTAATTATGATAATGATGGCCATATATGTCACTAATAGATTATTGATGGATGTTTTTGTAAAAAGTCAAATTCGGACTTGGGTAGTCCCCACGTCACCAAGACCTGCCTTGATCTAAGCACCCCTTAACGCCTTCAACACACATTTACCAAAAGGCTCAACAATATATGATGCTGTAATACATGGCTAGGCTTAACAATATTTGATGCTGTGATACATGGCTAGGCTCAGCGGTATCTAATGCTATAGTATATGGTTACATCGCCAAAAATACATAAGAAAGTCTCTTTTCTTTATTATTTCCTTATTTGTTAAATTTTATCATTTTCATCAACTAATCACTGTTCCTTTATGCAGGTCATCAATAAACCCATGAATCCAAACTCATGGAGATATTCGGGATAAACTATGGGAGTAGTGGCTTGGTAGGTATGGATAGGTGAACGTTGCCTATTTGGCAAAGTGAGGTATTCATGCCAATGAAGCTTGGCACTGGCGATGTTGCTTGATTTTGCTAAAAAGGGCTGGGTAGCGAAGATGTGGAGGCTGAGATTGGTCATAAAATCGTACTATTTGATGCTAACTAGAAGCTTAAAATT